TAATATGTTATTGGTTGGTTTTTCTTTATTTATTTTGTTAAGTTTGGTTATTGGCTTTTTTTGTTGTAGGTTATTAATAAAGGTGGTTAGATTTGAGGGAGGATGGCCTAGATGTTATGAGTGTGGGTTTTTTAAAGGTTTGATGAAACTTAAATGTTTTAGGTTTACTTACTTTGATTTGTTAGTAGTTTTTGTTATTTTTGATTTAGAAATATCTCTATTACTAAATATGCCTACTCAAGGGTTAATGTATTGGAGTTTTATAGGGTATTATACATTTTTATGTATATTGTTATTTGGATTTTTGAATGAGATTTTTTTGGTTATGTTAATTGAATTTATTAGAGAAATGAATAAAGTTACTGCCAATAATTTTTTGTCAATTTATTTTGGCTTTCTCTTTATAAGATTAAGTTAATATGGACTGTATGTTTTCAAAACATCTAGAGGTTTTACCATCTTATGATGATAAGTTTAAACTGACTATTAAGTTGAATATTTACGTTAGATCATAAGCGTGTTGGTATTATTTATACTTTGTTGGGATTGTGATCTGGTTTTGTAGGTTTAAGGTTTAGTTTATTAATTCGGGTAAAATTTTTAGAACCTTATTATAAAGTTATACCATTAGATTGTTATAATTTTTTGGTTACTAATCATGGTATAATTATGATTTTTTTCTTTTTAATGCCAATTTTAATTGGAGGATTTGGTAACTATTTATTGCCATTATTAGGAGGGTTAGCAGATTTAAATTTGCCTCGATTAAATGCATTAAGAGCTTGATTATTGGTTCCTTCATTAGCTTTTTTAGTAGTTAGCATGTATTTAGGAGCGGGTATTGGGTGGACATTTTATCCTCCTTTGTCATCATCTTTATTTTCAGAAAGTATTGGTGTAGATTTTTTAATGTTTTCGTTACATTTGGCTGGTGCTTCTAGGTTATTTGGTTCTATAAAATTTATTTGTACTTTATATAGGATTTTTATGACTAATATTTTTTCTCGTACATCTATTGTACTTTGGTCTTATTTGTTTACTTCTATTTTATTATTGGTAACTTTACCAGTTCTAGCGGCTGCTATTACAATGTTGTTATTTGATAATAAATTTAGTTCTGCTTTTTTTGATCCTTTAGGCGGTGGTGATCCAGTTTTATTTCAGCATA